CGAATCTGCTTTGATTAATTTACTTCAAGAAACTAAATCGCGTATTCTTATTTATGATCCTCAACTTTCAAAAATTTCGGTGAATGTTCAAAATGAAATCAATTCTCAACGTCCACAATCGCTCAACATTTTTCAACTTCCTAATAATTTAAAAAATGATGCAATTGACTATTTCGCCCCTGATCTAAAATTAGATGAAAATCCTTATGAAAAAATTATTGCTATTTTTCATAGTTCCGGTTCAACCTCATTTCCTAAATTAGTTCCTCTCTCCAATCGTTATTTATTAAATGCAGTCAAATCAAATCATACTCGTGAGATTATTTTATCAATCGCTCCATTATTCCATATTTATGGATTCGTTCGTGCATTAAAATATATTTTAGGTCCTGGTTCGACATACGCATTTCCAATTGTTGCAGGTTCAATCCCTTTAGCCAATGAAGTTTTACATAGTTTAAAACAATCTAATGCTAGAATTCTACATACTTTACCTGCTACTCTTGAACAAATTTCTAAATATTATCCGGAGGAAATTAAAACATTATTAAATTTAAAATCCATATTTTATTCTGGTGCTGCATTGTTTCCTCAAGTAGGCGAACAACTTGTTCAGTCTGGCGTCAAAATTCGAAATTCTTATGGTGCGACCGAGATAGGTAATCTTATGTTGACTCCTGAAAATTTATCACCTGATATTCCATGGAATGCAATGAAATTAATAGTTCCTGAAAGTAATATAGAATGGATAGAAAGAAATGATATCCTTGATGGTGCAAAAGAATTAGTTTTAAAAAAAAGTTCTTCAATTCTCGCAAATATTAAAGGAAATACTGATAATGATGATTATAGAGTAGGTGACCTTTTTATTGAAGTTAAAAAAGGTTCCGGTTTATATCTTTTACTTGGTCGAGTTGATGATACACTTATTCATACCACTGGTGAAAAAACAAATCCGGTGCCAATGGAAGATACTATTCGTCTTAATAAATTTGTTAGACATGCAATTGTCATTGGACATAATAGACCGTTTAATTGTCTTTTAATAGAACTCGATTTTGATCATTTAAAAAATACTCCTTTCTTGGAAATCACGAAAAGTATCTTTGATTCAGTTCACCAAGCTAATATTAATTGCCCATCACATTCTCGAATCTTTGACGAAATGGTTTATATCTTACCTCTTGAAGGAAAAATGCTACCTAGAACCATGAAAAATAATATTCAACGTAAAAAAGCTGAAATAGAATTTAAAGAAGAAATAGAAATGCTCTATGATAATTTAGTAAATAGAAGAGTTGTTTCAAATGAGAATTCCTTTTCTGATAATCAATGGGATGAAAATTCTGTAAAAACTACCATATTAAGTTCCCTTAAATTAGCCATTGGCGATTCATTTTTAAAAATTACCGAATACGAAACTTCACTCTTTGCTTTGGGTCTAGATTCTTTATCTGCAACCAAATTACGTGCTATTCTTCAGAATAAATTTTCATTTATCGACCTTCCTTATGATGCAGTTTTTGAACATAATACTGTTCAAAGTCTTACACATTATTTGATAAAAGAATTATCAAAAATCAATGTTTCACAAAATCAATATGCTAAAGACGGTTATGAAGAGAAATTACAGGCACTTAAAGACGAAGTAAACTCATATATTAAAAAGTATAATAAAATCGATAACTTTCCTTCTATGGGATTCGTTAATGGAATTACCGGTATAAACGGTTACGGAAAAGATGGTGAAACGGTCCTCATAACAGGAGCTACTGGATCTCTTGGCTCTTTCATCCTTCGAGATTTGCTAAGAAATCCTAACGTACTTAAAGTTTACTGTTTAGTGAGAGCTTCAGATGAAAATAATGGGTGGTTTAGATTAAAAGATTCATTTGAACAACGTCATTTAGATACTTCATTATTATCTAAAGAACGAGTTATTATTTTACCAAGTGATCTGGGTGATTCGAAACTTGGACAAACCGAAAAGGTTTATTTGAAACTTGTACGAGAAATAACACAAATTTATCACGTGGCTTGGAGATTAGATTTTAATAGTAAAATTGAAGTTTTCGAACGTGAATGTATTGGAGGAACTGTTAATCTTCTTATGCTCGCTCGTGATGCATATATTAATAATCAAAATATTCATTTTAATTTTACATCAAGTATTAGCACATCTCTTAGATCAAAAATAAATGTTAAAGAAGATGAATTACCTCAAGATATTTCAAATGCGATACTTAATGGATATGGGTTATCAAAATTTATTACTGAGCATGTATGCGCCGAATGGTCTCGAAAAATTGGTTTCAAACTTGATATTCATCGTGTTGGTCAAGTTTGTGGAGATTCAGTTACAGGAGTTTGGAACACTAAAGAACACATTTCACTGATGATAAAAGGAGCACAAATTATGAAAATTATGCCGGATTCGTACACTTCGAATGTTGATTGGATACCAGTTGATGTGGCTTCTCAAAGCATCGTTGATATTTCTTTGAATGCACCTTTTGACGACGAGATTGATTATGTCCGAGTTAATCATATACTTAATCCAAAGAGAATTACATGGAATGAATTCTTAAAATTCTTAAATAAAAGTGGAATAGATTTCAAAATTGTTTCGAATAAAGAATGGTTAAATACATTATTAAAAACACCCGAATATCAAAATGTGGATAAAAACCCAGTAGCAGCATTATCAGGATTTTTTGAAAAAACTATAAGCGAATCATCAAATAAAAGTGAAGAATTTGAAACCCATAAATCAGTAGATCGTAGTTTGGCACTTTCCAATTGTCAAAAAATTGATGTAATATTAATCAAATTATATATTAATCATTGGAAAAGAATATCATTCTTAGATTAGTTAACTTATATATTAATCATTAGAAAACGATATTTTATATACTCACGCTCAAATTTTTATTTCTCTTAAAATATCACAATAAATTTCTATATAATGTGTGTTAAAACCCGTAGAATGGTATAGTATATTTCAATGTTTTGAATTGCGCACGTTTTTATCAATCACGTAACTTATAGGCTCAAGTATATATAATCGATCATATATGGGCAATTTTGCGCAAGTGCCAAACAGTGATTTTTTTTTAGTAAATACCCATATTATTCGCTAAAAAAAAAAAAAAAAAACAAAAATAAAACTGTAAAATCTAGTTAGTTGGACCGGGTCGCCCGCGGGTGGAGGTTGCAGTTCAGTTAAGTCAGTCCTGATAACCCTGGTAAGGAGCAGGGACACGGAAAATTTTGGAAAAAAATAAATCCAAATAAATACAAATTGCCGGCCAAATTCCAACGAAATCCAAATTGCCTGGCATTATCCAAATAAATACATATTTTCGGGTTTACTAATTCCCCCCACACTTCACTATCGGAGTACCATAAAATTGATTAATAACATAGCACTCTGACATGTGAATAATTAGTAGAACCAATCAGAAGTGTGGGGAAAATACCTAGTAAACTCAATATTTTCAATTTGTATTGGTTAGAATAGAACATTAGAACATTAAAAATTCATGTGATTTTATATCAGGACTTCGACATATGTAGGTTATATGAGTGCTGTCAAGCGAAAGCCAGCAATTTCGATTTTTGCCGGCTCCGCTTTCTGATCCGATTCCTGATAATTTAAATTAAGCACAACATAAACTATATGATGTGTTAAATCACATTTTTCGGGGTTTGATCTGTAAAATTAATTTCGGAAAACTCACAATTCCCTGTTTTCGCTTGTCAGCACTCATGTGATGCCATAAAAATGTCTCGGTCATGTGATCTCAGACCGTTTCCGACCACATTGATATCGATATATGATTAATTGTCGCAGATCATAATGAAATCGGATTAAAATGAAATGAGGGGTTTCTATTTGACCCTCTAAACCCCATTTATACTTGTTTATTATAAAACCTGCCTCTAAACCCTAATCCTAACCCTAAAAAAAATACTAAAAAAATGCACCCAAAAATTTGTATTTTTCGGTGGCTTGTCTATTTTACACTATCGCTCATTTCATTTTAATCTGATTTTATGCACCCCTTGAATGTGTGCTAGGTCTGTGGCGCAGATTTACTGAACTACGAATCAGATTTCAAGATCAGGTGCAACGTAACACGATCACGAAAATTCAAAACAAAGGTTCGTTTTGTCAAAAATCGCTTATTTCCCGTAACCCTAATTCTAACTCTAACGTAAATGAAAATTACAGACTTTTGCTGCGCCATAAACCTAGCACACATTCAATTAATGCCATTTTTATGGCACCACTAACCTCATAGACAGAAGTTCGTCTGATTGGCTAATAAATTCAATTTAACTTTACATTATTTATACAGTTTAGAGTACTTTTTAAAAAAAACGAAAACTAATCATAATGAAATAAAAAAAAAACTGTTTAGAAGATTTCATTAGAGCTATAGGACTAGAGATAGGCCGATGCGCATGAATCCGAAAAAAGCGCATTTTTCCATCAATGTTTTATATATAAAACTTTGTTAGCTTCGATACTATAGATGAGTCAATGTACTGTACTTTCATGCATATGTACTAATACGCATCTATACATATAATTCTATTTCATTTACGTGATATTTTATCAAAATTTTATAACCATTTAACCGTGTTAACCATTAACTCAGCCGACATTAAGATAATTTTGACCCATGTCCAACATAATGCAGGCTAGAACTATGGAATAACTTTTGTACTGAATTCTTATGTCTTGAGCCTAAAAGTCAAATGTATTATACTTTGTAACGTATGTAAATAATTGAATAACAATTGGAAATTAGATTGAATTTTGTCCAGCAAAAAGTGCGCATGCATGAGTATGAATGCGCAGTTTTCCGAAAAATGTTTTTTTCCTATCTCTAGGTGTAACGTGAACTCTAACCTTGACCGTGAAGTTTTATTTTTATAAAAAAAAATGGGTTGATAGTCACGTTACACCTAATCTTAGTTACGGTGTAACCTATAGTCACAAATTCATCAAAATAAACTAGGAAATCAGAATCTGATGTAAGTCCGAAGCGAATATGCATAGTTGCACAAAAAAGCCAGCGTCGCCAATAATAGAGGGCGCAGTCACATGATCTTCCGATCTTGATTGATTTGCTTATGATTGTTACGTTTATGATAGTTACGTATAGTATATGATTGTAAATGTCATAACGATCATAATAATAGTTTGAGCTAGTTGGAGCTTGTTACTAATTATCTATAGTATTGTACAAACTTTTCAAAAATTTATTCGCAATGGAAGAAATAAAAAATAACAACTCTTTAGTTGAAACGATTGTGCCAAACCACTTGCAGATTTTACCGTTGGTAAAGATACTTATTCCCGTTGCAAAACTTGTCGTAACAATACATCACGGGCAAAAAAACAAAAAAGGCAAGAAATTGATAATTGTATGTTTGAAAAGGAAAATATATTCGATCTTGCAGAAATTACGGATTATGTCTATAATGCACTCCTGGATAATAAAGATTTG